GTGGGGAGAAAGCAGCAGCTCGCAGCCTTATCGGAGATCCGAGGCGCGGGCCGGCTTTCTCATGTAAATCAGGGTGCCCGCTGCAGATGCCAGCTGGACCAAGCATGGCAACCACAAGTCAGAAGTAAAATTAAAACGCTAGTCCAGGTCTAGGCATCAGCTCAGAATAGTCTGGGTTCATAAAGGAGGGGAGAAGGCCCGTCTCCTTCAGCCCAGAGAGCACGGGAACCTGCCCTGGGGTTTGGGCCCCAGGAGAGGAGCCCCAAGGCGCCGATCGCAGCCACGGTGCTGGCTTTTCTTTAACGTTGAAACTTTATCATAAAAGAAACCTCTATTCCTTGAGAGAAAAGAGAAAAAGAAAGGGAGAGGGCCGGCCCCATGACTTAGCAGTTAAGTGCACGTGCTCCGCTGCTGGCGGCCCGGGTTCGGATCCCGGGCTCGCACCGACGCACCACTTCTCCGGCCATGCTGAGGCTGCGTCCCACATACAGCAACTAGAAGGATGTGCAGCTATGACATACAACTATCTACTGGGGCTTTGGGGGAAAAAAATGAATAAATAAAATTATAAAAAAAAGAAAGGGAGGAGGAGGGAACCGTTCAGGACGGCATTAAGTTTTGAGAAGCACAAGCCCCCATCTTGTGCCCGATTCTCACTCTCCGGAGGGGCTTCAGATCCTGACCTGTGCCCCGGAGAGGCCTCTGTGCCCCAGTCACCAGACGGCCACAGCCCGCTCGGGGAGGGGGACTGGGAGGAGGGAGGGAAGAAGGGCAGAGAAGAGGAAACCTGCTTTTCTGACTCAACAAAGCGTGGATGCTGCCTGCCAGCCAAACTCAGCTTCACTCCCCACCGCCGTGGGCGCTGAGGCCGTGGGCTGCTCGTTCCTGAGGGCAGCATGTGGCCTCAGATGTGCACAGGGCCAGGGCACTGGGGAGGGGCGGGTCACTAATTCGGCCCCTGGTCCTGGTCCTGGGCAGGGCGCCTGTCCACCCGACCCTCATCACCGCAAGAACCAAGTCCAGACTCCTCCTTCCAGCCCACGAGGCCCCGACCTTGCTCTGGCCCCCTCATCCCTCCACTCCTCCCACCCCATTTCTAAGTAGCACCCCCTCCTTCATGCCCGTACCCTGCTTCTCCTCCTCGCAGGCTTTATTGCTGCCCAACCTATACAATAGGCCCATTTTCACTGGCCGGGCTCCACCAGAAGGTCAGTTCCTGGGGCAGGGACTGTGTCTGTCTCATGACACCATGATGTCCCCACCTCCCACACACGGCCCGGCACAGAGGAGCACTCAGAAGGTGGGATGGATGAATGAATGAATGAGGGAGTGATGAATGAGCGAATGAGTGCAGTTTCTCTGGCTGATCGCATCTCTCTTGCCGAAGGCCAGGCCACTGCTTCCTCGTGTGCCCAGCCTCCCCAGGCTCCAGCGAACTTGCCGTCCACAGCCAGACCGGGCACGCCCAGGAGGGGCACCACCACCCCCACCTCTGACCAGGCAGCACCGGCTTCATTTGGCTCTGCCGTTCCCTCCTGTGCACGGTGGGGAACAGCACACCCACCCGGGAGCCGTGCAGAGACTTGTACCCAGCTGGCTGGGGACGTTGGCGTGGTACTAAAGTACGCTTCGAGGGAGCACTGTCAGGACAGCAGGACAGCTCTTTAGAGCCCCATTTCCTGGGCACCCAGCAGAAGGCCCCAAATGGCCCCCATTCCAGTCTTGCTTACAGACTAGACGAGGGGCAAGAAAGCTCCTGTGGCCCACCATTGTGCGTGGACGAGGTGGACTCCGGTGGATGTGCCTCCCTAGCAAACGCGGCAGCCCCTTTTTATTCTAGCTCTTGGGAGCAGCTAGAAGCAGGAGGCGATGAAGACGAAAGGGTCCCGTGCCTCCCCCGACGCGTGCCTTCCCTCCCCACTTGCTCCTCCTCCCACCTCCTCTCAGCCAGGACAGCAACTAGGTTCCAGAACGCCTTCCTGTAAAAGGCGCCCGAGCTGCACGAGTGACTTTGCAAAGCGCTGCCAGTCCAGGAGGATCTCTCTGTCTAGGGCTGGACCGCACCTCAGGCCTGAGAGCTCAGAGCAAGGTCTGAGGAGTGTTCTCGGCTCAGCTGGCCCCAGACTGTGAAACCAGCCCGTGCGAAGCAGGGAGGCGGGGCCACGGTCCTCCACCCGAGACCCCGGAAAGACAGACCCAAAATCCTGACCTTGTGCCGGGAGGTCACACGGGCCAGACGGTGGCTCACACGGTAAACGGCAGGAGTGAGGGGTCTCGAGGGAGGGGTAAGCTCTACCAAGAGCCCCCCAACGCGCCCACATCTTGTGGGGTGTGAAGACCCTTCAGGGGCACAACACAAAGACCATCTCCCTTCCCTCCATCTTGAGAAGGCAGCCTGCTACTGTCACCTATGGCATGGGCCATCCCCACGGAGGCCACCCTTCACCCTCACCCCACTGTGTCTGTCCTCAGACATTCTCTCCTCCCGCCCACCATATCCCCGAGTGGCCATGGGACAACTGGCTCCGAGTGGCTCTGAGGTCAGCGTGCGGTCCTGGAATCGCAGGGCTGGGGGCTCTGTCAGCACAGGCTCTGGGCCCAGGCCTCCTGCTGACCTGCAGCCTGGCAGGCCCCGGGAAAGGGACGCCCCAGACGCCGCCTGTTCCTCTCATCTGATTCTCCCGCAGCCCGAGTCCTCCCTCACTCGTCCCACACGGCCCTCGTGACTGGGCAGCCGTGGATCCCACAGCACGATGCACCTGGCCGAGGTTTTCTGCAAGAGGAGACGAAAATGGTCCCAAACACCCTCCCCAGCAAGAGGGCAGGAGAGAAACGGAACATCGCGACTTCATAATCATCTCCATAAACATTAAAGCCATCTATTAGGAGACCTGGAGCACAACTCTCATTACTGTCACGGGCAGCTGCGAGTCTCAAGGTCCTTAATTACAGCGGCGCAGCCTTGCAGAAACAGCGGAAGACTAACGAGCCCGCGCTGCCTGAGCAGGCCTTCCCTCCCCCACCGCAGCGGGGCACGGCAGGACCTGGGCGAGAGCGAGACAGGACAGGAAGGGACAGGCTGCCTAGAGGTGGCATTGTGTGGCAAGACCCTGCAAACTACAGCCACGCCTTCGTCACGCGGAGCGGGGCAGCCGACGCTGCTGACCGAGGCCTGGACGCCTCACTCCAGGATCACAGTGCTTGCCCTTGGACCGGCACGGGGTGTGGACAAGCTGCGCCTGCCGAGGCTGGGCCCCCGCCCTGCAGCAGGTGTGCAGGACTCAGAGGCCGCCCGTTAAGAAAACACAGCGTGAAGCACCCAAACGACGACAGACGACCAGGAACTCGGGTTCATCATCACACTGCAGACTCATAAATACGCCTGAAGTCATTCATTTCCCCCAGAACCCACCCTCCGCGGTGCTCTTTCGGTGCACGCCCCTGGCGCAGCCGGCAGACCCGTGACGCAGTGGAGGCCCCATCCCAAGGGCGTGGGGAGCTGACCCCACTGACGGGGCTGGGGCCTGAACAAGGTCCTAGGGGCCACCGACGTGCCGCTCCTCACCCAGTGTGTCTGACCGCTGGGCTGCCTCCACACCCGTCTCTACAAAGCCGGCCCACTGTTGTGAGCACATCCACGCTGGGGACTGCTCCCAACAGTGGGAAGCCCTCCCTGGTTCACGTGCTGGAGAGACCCACCCCCCCAAGGCTTCTTTCCACGCAAGTGTGGCATCTCGTCTGCACATTAGGCCAGCCGACTCCCACTCTGCCGCTGCCTTCTCCTCACCCCCGAATAGGGAACAGCCTGGCTCGCCGGCCGCCCAGGCTCAGGCTCCCTCTGTCTCTTTTCATCAATGTTTCCAGCAGACTGAAAGTAAAGGTTTTGGTTATAAGCCCTCAGGATGCTCTGGCCCCTCGGTTCTAATCCATCAAGGCTCCCGGTGAGCTTTCAGTTGGCCTGCTTCCCACCATCTCCACCAGCAACGTCGTGGCCAAGACTGCTGCTTGTCCCCCAAAGCCTGCTCAGCGGCACCACCCCCCAAGTCACCCGGACACACAACCGCCAAAAGAAAGGACATTTCCCAGACCCCTAGGAGCCGGGTGCAGCCACGTGACTAGGGTCTGGCCAATGGGGCTGTGGCGGGCAGAATAATGCCTCCCCAGGCGTCCCTGTCCTAATGCCTGGAACCTGTGACCTTCCGTGGGAAAGCGGACTCGGCAGACCGGGTTAAGTGAAGGATCTTGAGACGGAGCGGTTAGCCTGGATTTTCCAGGTGGACCCAGTGTCATCACGGGATCCCGGGCGGGGTGGGGGTAGAATCAGAGAAGGAGATGTGACAACAGATGCAAAGGTCAGAGTCGCCCCTCCCCCAGGTCAGGCCTCAGCAGACTCCCAGAGGCCAGAGGCCACCTGACTGTCCCTCAGCCACGTTGTCCTCAAGGGAAAATCAGGCTTATGCTACAGACAGAAAACCTCTGACAATGATGAAGATAACAAAAAACACTCAAGAAAATTGTCACAGATAAAACATGTAAAAGTTTATAGTGTTCCACACATAATTTTAAAAAGATATGAAATACCACCAGTACAAAATATAGCAAATAATATGTTTGTACAAAATCCAGTAAGAAAACATAATTTTATCATTTAAGATGATTCATAAAATACATTTTGCTAAAAGCAAATCAAAATGTCATAGACAGTGACAGTCTCCACGTGTAACACAGAGAAACGGGCTCGTGTACCCCGCGGCTCACGTTCTCGCCCGAGGACTCGCTCAGGCTCGCTACACGGTGGGTGCTGGCAACAGCCCAACTGGACTCAGGGGGCACGGCAACCCCTTCCTCCCTTGGCCAAGTTCACGGGTCACCAGGCTGGTCATCTGAGGGGAGGAGGGTCTACAGACTGCGAGCAGGTGAGTTCTGAGTTCCGAGACAGCGTGACAGCGGCCTGCCCCTGAGCAGCGGCGAGAAGGCCGCGCCGGTCCCAGGCCGCTCCTTTACTGGTAGATGACCTTCACACAGAACGTCTCTTCATTTTTGTCTTCGTGGTCGTTGATATAAATCAGAATCTCTTCCTCCCCAGCTCTCTGACTAGGCACAAACCGCAGGCCGATTGTGTAGGTCTCTCTTCCCCCAACCTGGAAACAAGCATCAAAATCCTAGCACCCCCCTAGACAGCTCATCTCTCTTCCAGAAACTTCCATGCACACAAACATGTATTTTCTCCAGCACAGCAGGTCACATGCCTCACAGAGAATTTTAAGCCTGAGGCTCTGGCCTCCAGTGCTGGGGTGACGGGAGCCCGGGCAGCCCTCCGAGGCTCGCAGACTCCAGCACACTTACGATCGGAACTCCATTTCCCATGTTACCGTGACACCCGACACCCTGCTCTCCCACGTTCTCAGGAGACGCTTCACCACTGAAGAAACGCTCCACTAACTACAGCCTGTGGTCTGCTGTACTTTCCCTAAAACTTCCACAAAAGATAAAGAGCAAACTTTCGGGACAGCTCTGGGTAAAACTATCGAGAATTCGCAAGGAAGGTCGGTCACCAGCCGCCCCCGCAACAGCACCTTTCAGAAGTGGGGGTCTCGGAGACAACGGCAGAGGAGCCCAGCAGAGGGTGTCCCCTCGCTGTGCCGAGGATCTCACCCAGAACAGAGAACGCGCTCTCCACCTCCCAGAACTTTTTGATGGCTGCCGTGATTAATCGGAATTGCTGCTAAATGCGTGCTGACCCCGCTACCTTCAGCCACACGCCTCAGGGCCCCGCCCTGGTGCCCAGGCCCCCCAGCACTGCCCCACCTGGAAGGAGTCCTCCTTGAACTGCAGCAGTTCAGGGTGGTCGCTGTACAGGTGGTAGGTCCTGGTGGAGGGGTAGGGGTTGGTGTAGGTGATCCTCTTGTTAGCACCCTTCCCTTCCCCCGCAGCCAGCGTGATCTCGAAGGCCTGTGGGGGGAGGGAGGGAGGGCAGGAGTCGGCCGTGGGCTCCTTCTCCAGGCCTTTCCTAAGCCTGCTCTGCACGTGGGGCCCCCAGATGCTGGACGTCTCCACAAAGACGACAGACGAACCCTCTGAGCTCCCAACTGAGGGGGGCTCATAGTACAGGGGCAACCCCCACCCCAACCCCGGGCCAGAAAGGACGGGAGGAGGAAATGCCTGCCTGAATCTGGGCAGGCCTGGGTCACGGGACCAGGTGACAATCAGGTGACACACCACTGGTACCACGTGGCCCACGCACATCACCCCTCCAAACCTTAGAAATGAGAGGTGGGCGGCAGGAGAGGCAGACGAGCCACGAGGCCACCAGCTGGTGGTAATCCACGTCAACCAGGTTGAGGTGGACGAACCGGCTGCCCGCTCTGCAGGGCCTCACGCTCACATGCAGGTCCTGCACCCCGTGAGGCGACAGCACGAAGACCCCTTTGGGGTCCGTCTTCAAGAACAAGAGGAAGAAGCAAGTCGGATGCGGCCTCTCACAAGGTGCACACAAGGGGTTTCCTGGGCACATGCAGCCCTGTGGACCCAGAGAATCCCAAGGGACCCCAGTTGTTCAGGGTTGACTACCTGTTCTAGGGGGGCCACATGGCCTGCAAGAGGTCAGAAGGGGCCCAAGTGAAAATGCCAGATCTGAAGCCAGACCCAACCTCAGCACCGGTGCCAGTGCCACAGCATGTTACAGTCTGTCACCATCTGTGTTGGGGAAGTCCCCCCAGGTGGTGACGATCCCCTAAGTGCCAGAGCTGCCTCAGCAGAGGGAGTAGAACAGGCTCCGGCTCTGAGCAGGGGCCCGCTGGCCGCAAGTCTGCACTGCCCTCATTATCCAGGTGTCTAATCGTAACGGCATTAATTCCAGAGTCACTACTAATATTTACCTTCCAATAATTCTGAAATTGGCCTGCAGGGTTTATATGTCACTCATCCCACGATGGCATATCTAACAATGGCAACTTGAATGAAGACTCTGCCAAAGAGTGTTTTGGTCTTGAAGTGCTGTGAGCCTGTCCTCGGGACCAACCACTGAGATGCAGCCCAATTCCCACCGTCCTACCTCGTCCCATCCAGTCCCGTCCCCAGGGTGGGTGAGGATGGAGAGAGGCCAGAGAACATCTAAGCGACCCGACAGCCCCCAGAAGGCCATACCGTCAGCTCCTGGGGGTGCGAGGTGAAAGCTCTCACATTCCTGACCGTCTGTGTCCCCCTAAGGACAAGCGACAGGCGGGTCCGCTGGCCTGTGACACAGGAGACGTCCACGCGCTGCAGGGAATGGAGGTGGACCTGCCAGATCTGGATGGGTGTCGCCAGCCAGCGATCCCTGCACAGGACGGAAGCCATTTGCGGCGTCGGTGAAGACGGCAGCACCAACTCGTGAGAGAGAAGCCAGGAAGAGGCTGAGAAGGCTGCCGGAGGGTGAGGAGCCAGGAGGACGGGGTGCCAAGGAGACGGGCCTGAGGCACAGCTGCTGTCACCCTGCAGCCACCTTCCCTCCTAAGGGGAAGGCTCTTGGGCAGGGCTGCCCCTTAGGCATAGCTGTGACTGCACTGGGAAGCTGAAACCCCGGAGGCAAAGCCCGCGGGCTGCACAAGGTGGGAGAGAAGGTGGGCTTGGAGGTGGCACAGGCGTGAGTGCAGGAGCCCGTGTGAGCCACCCGGTGCCGTCGGACACCGGCTCTGCGCCATACAACAGGCTCAGTGGTGCTTGCCCACGGGCTCGTTGTGAGGACTCCACTCTGCCACGTCCACACAGCCAGGGAAGGACGCTGAATGCAGGTGACCCCCTGCCCTGATCTCAAAGGGCTGTACGAAATGTGCCAGTTTTCAAGGGTTCAAAGGGCTGGGAGATACGATATGAGGGAAGGTCAAGGGACAAGTGTCATTTCAGCCAGGTGAGAGAAGGAAAGGGGTGGTTTAGTGAGTCTTCACCGTCAGAGGATAAGACCACCATTTCCATCCTCTCCCACCTCCCTAGACCGCGGGGGCTCATGTACTTACGTGTAAATGGTGACAAAGAAGTCTTTGCTCTCCGGGCTTGGACCGCTGGCGACCTTCAGGAACACGTCCCGAGGCTCCCCGGGGCCCTGCCAGACGGTGGGGTGCGTCACACAAATGCCCACCGTCCCCACTCGGACCCCGGCCCCCTAAGCCCACAGAAGCGAAAGTAGGTGTGAACCAGGCCCCCTTCCCCTCAACACATTTTTAATTTTCTGTACTAGTCAGCATTCACAGTTTTTTTCCCCTATAAAAGAGAAAATCATTAACTTCTTAATTTTATATTGAGTTCAATCATTATAGTCTGCAGGAGATTCTCTCCAGTTTCCTAACCAGTCATAATACAATTATGGCCGTTATTCTTTACACAATGGCAACTAATAAGTGCCTTAATTACCACTCACTTTATTCACTTTGCTTCATGCCATTTTTTTAATCTTAATTCAGATAATCAAGGAACTGATCTGCTAGCAGAAAAAATGAAAACTCATTCATAAAGCTCTCATAAGGATGTCAAAACAGCCCTTTAGCACCTTGGAAAGAATCCACTTAACCGGAAACCCACAGTGAAGAGGCTGCAGGAGACCAGCGGTTGATGGGGGGGCCTTGCTGGGAATGACGTGCCTGAGACGGGGCTAAAGAGAACCTACCACATTCTGGGTCTCACAAATGACATTCGGGTCGCTACATCGGACGTGGACCGGGCGGTCCTCGCCAGGCATTCCCACAGGTGTGCCTGAAGCATGGAAAGAGCAAAACAAACGTCTTTCCCGACAGCCCTGGGCTGTCACGGGAGCTCAACAAACACCCGCCGGGGAGGCGCAGCCGCCCTGCCGGCCCACGCCGCACGGACACCGGCGCCTCTGCTCTGAGCCGCCCCTCAGGACTCACACAGAGGGAGTGATGAGAGTGCTACGGAGCAAGGCGCTGGACGAAAAGACTGCGTTTTGTTCCAAAGGGCCCCAGACACGATATGTGAATCAGCAGGTGGAGGAAGCGAGTATCCCCGGGCCTCACCCCCAGGGCTGTGGACGTGAGGAGGGTGATGAGCCGGCCACGGGCACACCTGTCCTCCCAGAGGAGGTGAGAAGGTTGCCATTTCAAATGATAAAGGCAGGAGGGAGAATTTGCAGACGAGCCGCAGGTTGTTAGAGGAAGAGCATCACGGGACGAGGTAACGATGCCACCTGTCACCCTCAGGGAACAGCCTTTTCCCCGCTGCTGCACCCGCCAGCCTCGGGGTCAGGCGGGACCTGCCTGGAAGCGTGTGCGCAGGCGGCAGGCGGATGGCCTTCTTCAGGAAGGTGAGCTCCGGGTGGCAGAAGCGGAAGACCTGGTCCACCACGGGGGGCCGGGGCTCCACCGTCAGGCAGAGCACGGCGAGGGGCTTGCCGCCGCTGGCCTGGAACAAGACCTGCAGAGAGGGCACACGGCACCAGGTCAGCACCGGCACACGGGCTCGTGGCAGCTGCATGTGTGGCGCCTCTTTCTGCAGACAGGGACAGGGCTCTCCACGGGGTCCACTCCCGCCATGAGTGGGAAGCACAGGCATCGTCAGGAGCCGGGACAGCCTGCAGCAGCAGGTGCCCACACCGAGGAGACGACGCCCAGCACAGGGTCCGCACGCGGACGTTTCCTCTCACTCGTGTTCCCACTCGTGGCTGCTGCTGCTGCTAGTTCTTATACGTAAGGCGCGGGCTGAGAACGCCAGGGAAGAAGGTTTCCAGCCCCACAGTCAAACGCTACTTCAGCCACGGTTCCACCTTCTAACAGCCTGCCGTGTGCCTGCTGGGAAGTCACTCCAGATGGATCTGGACATTAACCTCACCAGGTCCTCCTGGGTGATAATGGAGCACATTAGCATGAGCTCTCTGATTCCCGCAGCAAAAGGAGGCTGTGCCCAAACCAAAAGGGCTAGAAATAGAAACTTCATTTTTCTAAAAAAAGTAAGTTACTAAAAAACTTATTTGTCCAAAAGAGGTCCTAGTTTGGGTAAATGATAGAATGAGGACATTTATTCCAAGAGTCAGTCTAGCCCAGTGAGCCCTCTAGGCCTAGGAATGAGGGGGGACACACAGCCTGACACACAAAACCAGGCAACCTTCCCACCTCGATGCAAAACTTCGGTCACCAGACGAACCTTCCCCTGAAAGATGAAACACCCCCATGGGATGGGCATTCTTCTACTTTAGTGAGTTTTACTGTGAAATCTTTTACATGTACATACATAAAAGAATACATATGTAAAAATATGTTTAAGTCACAAGTTAAGACAGCCACCCACGAACCCACGTCCCCATCTGGAAGGGGCACGCTGTCCATGCCGGCCAGCTCTCTGTGCCCCCAGTCCCCCCGGCCCCACCTGAGGAAGTCGCCCTCCTCAACTCCGCGGTCACCGTCCCGGGCTTCTCTTTGCCGTCTTCCCACTTTTGCATCTTTGAGCAATGCTGTGTTTGGTTTTGCCCTTCTGGAGCTTCCTCTGGAAGCTGTCACAGCGCGGGTCTGTTTCCACACCTTCTATGCGCTCACTTGACCTCGTGTTCCGGCTGGGAGGCTGCCTCAACCACAGCCCCGTTCCCACCATCTGTGCTCCGACACTTGTCAGTCAGAATTCCACCGCTCTGCCGAGACTTCAACTCTAAAATGACCATTTATTTAGCCGTTGTGCCCGTTATGAGCAGGGTCTCTCTGCCCCACGCCCACCCCGCTCTGCTCTCAGGCCGGGGCTCCTGCAGAGCATGTTACTGCTCCACTGGCCGCTCCTAGAAGCTCTGACCTCGGGGGACAGCCAGGCTCGGGGATGACGGGGGACCCTCCTGCCTGTCTGCTGCCCTCCTGTCAGCCTTACCCGGCAGCCCATCCTTGTCCCGGCAGCCGCAGTTCCTCCCGCAGCAGGACCTAGATCCAGTTTGTGCTTTTCAACACTGCAGACCCAGCCTTGGCCCCCAGGAGGACCCTGTCCTGGCAGCCGGCGCCCCCTCCTCAGAGGCCTGAGTCTCAGGCCCACGGCCTCTCCTCTGAGCTCTGAGTCATTATTTCCAGCTTCGTCCCTTTGTTCCTGGGGCTAGGAACGGCAGGTAGCTGCTTCCTGCCCTCTCTCCCTCCTTGAAACCTTAAAGTTCCGGTTTCACTCTTCCAGTGATCAGGTTAACGTCACACCTAGTTAACAATGCTTCCTGCAAGTTCTCTCTGTTAAAGAAGCTGTGTGGTTCCTGTCTCCTAGGCCCGCCTGATCAGCCGTCTTCCAGGGGCCACTCAGCGGGAGCCGGAGGAAGGACAGGCTGCATCCAGCCCACTGCAGTTACAAAACACACTTTCTTTCTCTACAGTGCACCAACTTGAAATGAGTCATCAGATTAAAGAAAAAAGAGTATCACAGACGCAACTGTCCAAACTCCTGAGGACTGCCCACCGCCCTCGCCTCCTCTGCTTTATTTTTCACCACAGCACGACCACCGCCCACGTCACGCTTCCTGTATTGGCACTATCAGTCCCCCGCCTGAAGGGAAGCCATGAGGGCGGCCATTTGGCTGCTTGTTCCCTGCAGCCAAGGGTCCAGGAAGCTGAGTGGGCCGCAGGACGTGAGGACCCAGGAAAGTCATCCGCATGTCAGACCCACAGAACCTGTGACCTGGGAAAATCCACTAGGCTGAACCTTTTTCTAAAACTCAGAGCAGCACACTAGCAACACCCACGGAGATAGCTAAGGGAGCAATCCTGCCTTTGGAGAATCTGCAAACATAATTGAAAGCCTCAGACCGAACTTTCATATTCTCTGCAGTTTTTATGACACTTAGAAGGTCTAAAAGAGTTGACAACATTTATACAAGCCAGTAAAAGCTTTAAAAATGGTCAATCGGTGCAAAATGAGCCAGCTACTTAGGAAAGGGATTTAGCAAAATTGTATGGATATAAGGCTATTCACTGCCGCACTATTTGTAACAGCACAAGGCGAGAAACAACTCCAAAGTCCGTCGGTAGGGGACTGGTCAGATAAGCGATGGACATCCACACGTGGAGGGCTCTGACCTGAGAGTGAATGAGGACGAGCACGTGGTCCCAGGACCACATTCATGCCCGGCACACACACGCACGTACACACACACACACACGACAGAAGTGGGGGCAGCAAAGTAAGCAGGATCTTTCTGAATAGATCTAATTTTACAGTTTGATTTGGACTCATGTAAATGTTTTTAGTTAGTTAAAAAACTAAAATAAAAAAGAAAAACAAAGGGTCTCTATATATGGAAAACAAACTGAAACAAGCAAATCTAGCAGTGTATCAAGCTGGTGAGGTAACTACCCAGGGCAAAGGGATTTGACCAGTGCCATCAGTAGTTGGTTACCCACAGGGGAACTGAGCAATAGGTAAAGAGACTGAAGATAACGGGAGCCACTCTCTCACTTGAAGAAACGGCAACTACAAACGTGGCAAAGGGCAACTAGAACAAACCCTGTGAGGCCACGCTGGTACTGGAAGCACGGATGTGAATTCATGGTCTTCAACATATATGGAAAGGCACAGGAGTCTGTGCACAGATCCTGTACACAGACACACACTCTTGAGCGATCTCTGCTAAGAGGGACCAGAAGCAGTGAGCCCCCAGTGGTAATGAGCACGCCCAGTACCCAGACCTTGGTTTCTAAATACCATTCTCCACTAAAAGGAACCTGAGATATAGCTGAGTCCAGAAATGAGCAAGGAAAGCACAGGATGACTCTGGAACATCTTGTCTGCCAGGCAGTAAGGAAGTGCTCAAAGAACCACAGGGACATGTCAAAAGGACACAGGAGCCATCCTGAAGTGGCTGCCACTGGGGGGTCAGGGATAATATGAGCAGCAAGGCAAATAATGACAGTAAAAAATTAAAACCCGTTGAATAAAACGGGAATTTACAGTCCATAAGGGTACAAAAAATAAATGAAGGAGATGAAGGCAAAGCTCTACCTTACTTAGCATGCCCACTAACACATGCAGAAGGAATGATGAAATGTGAAAATCGCCAATAGGCAACCATCATGCTAATAACTCATTCCAGCAAGAACCACCAGTGGATGCTAAAACCAGAGAGCAAGAGTTTGATGGGGAACAGGATCTTGACATCATCTCAGAGTATCTCCTGACAAAATACTTATTCACTACTTTCTAACTTTCAGCTATAAAATACTTCTTAATTAATTTTATAGTGAAGAAGCCTGGCAGACACCATCTTAACTAAATAAGACAGTTAATATCACCGGTAATAGAACAAATCAACATCGTGTCCCTCCTGACAAAGGTTCTGAGAAGAACACAGCAAAACTTCTGCACTCTTCCTGCCCTGAAGGCATAACCTGAACCCAATCACAGGCAAACTCAGACAAACCCAAACTGAGGGACATTTTGCAAGATAACTGGCCTGTACACTTCAAAAGACCAAGGCCATGAAAGGCAGAGAAAGCCTGAGGGTGTCCCAGACTAAGGAGACCACAGAAACAGGCACACCAAACACACCGTGTGAACGTGGGCGGGTCAGCGATCCAATCTGGGATATCTGGTGAGGTGCAAATGGGATCTTTGATGAGACCTATCAGTGTCCATGTCCTGATTTTCGTGGTTCTACTGTGGTTACGGAAAAGAGTGTCCTGATTTTCAGGATACACAAGCTCTAAGTTTCACGGAGCAATGGGGCATTATGTCGATAACTTGTTCTCAAATTGTCAGATAAAAACATGGAGAAATAGAGACAGAGAGAGTGACGAGGCAAACGTAAGACACCAACAGTGGGGAGATCTGGGGAGATAATACACGGGAGTTCTCGCGCTATTCCTGTAACTTTTCTCTACGTTTGAGATGATTTCAAAATAAAAAGTTAAAAAAAAAAGGCACAGGAGCTAACTGGAAAGGGATGGCAGGGGCCGGAGAGAAAGGGGCAGTTATATCATCCAACACCCACCATGGAGGAGAGAGAGAACAAATACAAAACCGCAAGTTCACAATGAGACTCCACAACACCGACCATCTTTGGAGGTCGCTAGGCCATGACTCATTATTTTAAATATTGATAAAGAGAAAAAACTCCCACACTATCCTGACTTTCCGGTATAAGGTATATTTCAGGGTAACCCACTGCTGATGGGGAGAACTCTTGCTCACAGAAGAATCGCAGCTAATACGCCCAGGAAGAACGAGCAAAGCTGAACTGCACCACTCTCCTCCCTGACGGAATAAGCAGTGAGGGCAACGACCCCTTAGGTGGACACATCTTGCCACAGTGGACGACCAGTCCCCGTGGCCTCTGCGGGTGACAGCACAGCAAGCCCACGCACAGTGACTCCAGGGACAGAGGACAGCGGGCCCTGACTCCAACAAACCAACTGTGAAAAGATGAGTGAGCACGGACCGGACGTTAGGTGATGCTGGGGATTTGTTGCTTATCTGGGGGCAGTGACATTAGCACATGGCTACGTTAAAGAAAGTCCTTATCTGTTAGAGATACACACTGAAGCAATCACGGGTAAACTCATAAGATTTCTGGGATTGGCCTTAAAACTCCACAGTTGTGTAAGGAAAAATGTATTAGCCTCTCAGATTTCATCTATAGCCCTAAATAAGGAGCTGACATGTTCCTTAGACAACGGCAAAGCTGTAGCTCCATGTTTAAATAAAACAAAGCAAATTTTCACTGGTGATTGGGGCCATGGGCACAGGGCTGCCACCCCGTGAGACTTGGGAACGCAGGGCTGCAGTCAGGAGCCAGTTCCTTGTCCGGACTGCACTGAAATCTGTTCTCAGAGTAGAGGGCAGGGGGCAAAGGTCTTTCTGTTTTTGTTTTTACTTTCAACTTAACTACAAATAGCATTTGTCTACAAAAATAAAAGCTTCAGAAATTCCTATCAAACGACAGTGTCCCAAGCTCCTCCTAAGGCCAGCCTATGGCAGGCAGGCTGTTGATCAGTGCACCTCACAAACGTGCTGTCCCCTAGGCGCGTTAATGAGGATTAAGTCTTACTTCCCAGAAGTAACCCCCACACATCACACTAATTGTACACGACACAGGAATGCCATGGATCAGGGTCGGAAGAGCCAGGCTAACTCTGAGAGTGGTGGCTTCATGCTGTGACAGCTGCAGCAGGCACCAGGGCCGCTGGCTTCGCACCCAGAGCGCCCAAGGACTGCACAGTGGCAAGCTGCTGGGGAGATGTTTCCATGCCAGACACCCACCCAATGGCCATACCAGTGTCTGGCTGAAGCTGTCACTGCCCTGTTAGGACATGAAAAGTCCACCTCCATGGGCCCCGCCCCCAGTCACCCTAGACCAGCCCCAAGCCCTCCCCTCCGCAGGCCCAGGGAAGGGCAGAGGCCCAGGCCCCAGTGGCCCAGGCACAGAGGAGCTCATGAACGCTTCACTAGGTCTGCTCAGAGAACACGGCTCACACCACAAGACCTTGGGAACATCCCGGACCAGACGTCTGTCATCTTCTGACCCCTTACCTTGGCGTGTTTAGTGGGCATCATGCTGGAGTTCAAGGGCAATCCAGCGCCCGTGGCCTTCTCAGATCTCAGCTCAGCAGAGGCCTGTGAGAAACAAATCAGCACAGCGGGTCACGAGACGGAGTCCTCGGGGACAGGTACTTCTTTCTTCCTGTAGGAATAGCTGCCACCCTGGGCCTGGGCTCCTGTGTCTCAACTACTCTCACAGGAACCCTCAAGGCGGCTATGGTTATTATCCAGCCTCATCGCCATGAGCTGTGAGGGCGAACCGACATGGTAACCCAGCTCTGCCTGAAGCCAAAGGCCTGACGTCTTCACCACATCCTCACGACCTCTTGTCCCAAAAGCACATCCAAAGATAAGCGTGGAAATCTGTGAGCCTCTAGGACTTCCTCAAGCCCATGTAAGTGATGATCGTTATTGTGCAGAAGGTCAGTGGAATAAACGACACACACACCCTGCGCCCTCCCCCATCACACAGCTGCACACACACGTACGACTCACATCCCTTACACGGCATCTCAGTCTGCATTCATGCGGAGAAGCAAACGCCACAGGAAGAAGTGGGCGAGCAGCATTAACTGGAGAGTATAAAACACTACGAAGTTTCAACCCATTAGCTCTTCTGAGGTTTAATAAAGGCTCTTTTACTTTAGCAAAAGAGAGTTCAGGAGACAGTCTAGCCTTTCCCGAGGCCCCGTATGGAGGAAAAGTGGAGCATCTGGGCTGCCGCGCACAGCACAGCGCAGGTGCCAGGGCGCGTGGGAGAACAAGGGGAGCAGGTGACGGCCCACAGGCTAAGCATCTACACAGCACAGGAGGGCTTTCAATTTCCCACCCGCACTTAGCTAAATGGGATTTCCCCGTGTGCCTGACGACAAGCGCCTTTGGCATTGGAAGACGACCTTCCCCACCTGCACGGAGGCCGGCTGACCCACAGAAAAGGTCTGGTATTTGAAGGGGATGTGGGCCGTCTCCCTGGGGCGCAGGAAGAGCTGGGGGGCGAGGCCGCCCTGCAGGTGGAACATGTCCTCCTCCACTGGCGTGTGCAGGTCGGCGGCGTCTTTGAAGTATCTCCACTCCCGACTGTCCAGGATGAGGCTGGGGGGCAGGGGAGACACAGAGCTGAGGCAAAAGGTTCTTCCTGCTAAGTCCTTTATCAGGAGATGGCCCCCACCCACTCAGAGCTGGCTGTCCACACAGGACAGTGGGCGAAAGCTGGAATCAACAGGACCCACGAGGGACAAAATCAGCTTAGCTTTCAGGCAGAGCTCAGAGTCACCCCACCTGACCCAGCTGGGGGGCCGAGGAGAGGCTGCCTCGTGCTCCCACCTGAGCTCAGGGTTGTCTATCTCGATGGTCACTGTGTGCGGCGTGTTGTGGGGGTTCTTAAGAGCAAACTCGAAGAACTCGGCAGCGCCCAGCGTGGCATAGATTGTGTGCTGTGTGGTGATGGCCAGGCTCAGCGCGCTGGCGATGCTCTCAGCCTTCATGCGCTCCCGGTATGCGGCGATGACCCGCAGGTCGCGTGTGTGCTGTGCACGGACACTCTGCTGAGCCTGCGGGACACAAGGGGCTGAACCAAAGCCACAGTCCCGGGGCACCCTCTCCTTCTTGAGGGCTGTTTTCTAGCCACCTTCCCCCACCGCCCCAAATACCAAATTTCTTCTGGAATCACCACCACCCGCTTCCTCGAGTCGTGGGTTGGGTGGAACTGGACTACCTCCAGCAGACAGAGCATGGGGCATGCCTGTCCCCCACCACGGATGACTACTGAGCACTCCTGGCTTCTCTCTGCCCCACAGGTGATCTACCCCATGGAAGGCAGGGTCTGCCTTGCATGCTCCCAAGAGACTATAACCACCAACTACACCAACTCTCCCCACAACCAGAAGGCTGGTACCTGAGCACAGTGGGGAATTGACAGCAGAGGTTTCAAATACAAGAGGAAAGAATAGCCTCAAAACTAAGACAGATGACCAGCTCACCAGCCAGGTCCCCACGGTGGCAGCAGGAGTCCTGTCTGCAAGCAGAGTCCCGGGAGGGGACGGGTCGGCCCTGACTGATCTCAAGCTGGCCAGGTCCAGACAACTGGTAGGCTGCCTCGGTGGGCTCCGCCATGGGCCCTTTGTCCACCTCTTCTTCAGGTCCCTGAGATTCAATGAGTTGGACCACCTGGACATGTTCCAGAGGCTGGAGCTTGGCTTACTTTGCTTGTGTGCCTTATACTAAAAAGTGAGGCCCATTGGAGGCTGCTTTGCAAGATCTAAAACCTAGAAGGGGCCACCACCATGCAGGGGAGTCCACCAGGCCCAGCGCTGAGGACCTTCACACACTGAGGAGGCCCAGACATCAGAAAGCAGGGGCCGACCGAATGGCTTTGGACTTGAACTCAAAAGGCAAGGACCCAACATGATTTCTGACTTAAATCCCTTTGGATATTGACTTTCCAATGCCCAAAACCATGGCCTTTCCCTAGCAAGGGACTGAAGCTGAACCTGTAATTTCTCCCCGGGAATCTGAAAACGGGAGGGTGGCTGTGTTCCCATTAGAGGCCTCCCTAGGTGGGCATTTTATGATTAGAGCCTCCTGGAGTGGAACCTCTGACAGGCTGCACTGGACACGGCCAGACATAATTTAAGATGAGAAACAGATCCAAGAGTGGCTTTTCAACCTTGCATTGAGACCGTGCACGGCCCTGACCCACCCCCAAGCTGAGGGGACAGAATCTGTACTGCCCACCAGCACAGCGGCTCCAGGACGATCCACTGCGGGCTCTAGGGCAGAGGCCATGTGAAGATGGGCCCAAGACTGGCCCGTCAGACTGACTGCCATGGGCAGGGCATGGCGACAGCCACCCTGGTGGTTTACTGTAGACCAGACAGTTAAAAGCAACGAGTAGAGACGGCATAACCCTGGGGGTCATGAGAAGGACAACCCCTTGCCCTGTCTCATCTCCTTCCACACCACAGAGGAAAGTGTGAGCCTGACACCCTGGCCTCCCTCCACCCCAATCCAGCCCACCCCATAGGAGATGGGGTGACTTCTCTGATAGAAAGTTCTGGAGCATGAACCAGGTAGGCATAGCCCTGCCCTCCCTCTCCTCTTCCTTTTGGGATCCACCCGCCTGAAGACACCATCAGGTGCTCACACTGCTCTTGGCCAGGCGGTAAGGTTAGTAGGAAGCACCCCGCTGGTGGAGGCGCTTGCACTGTCTGGCATTACCCGGACTGGGTGACTGTCAGTAACTCAGGCTCAGTGTCAGGAACACCTTGCCTACAGATCCAAGCCAATTCTCCAGTGTCAGCTTTGCCGTAACTAGTCATCAGTAAAACAGAGACGATATTTTGGTGTCTCTCTGCCATTCCTGTCTTATTCCTGTCTTATTTCCTAATCAATCCAGAACCCAGGCAGACAAGGCTGATGGCACTTACTGGACCCCTCAGACCCCAACAGGCAGCCAATCCCACTGCAGGCCCCGGTACCCGGTTCAAGGATGGGCATGCTACCCATTCAGAGCAGTGAGACCCATCAGCCACTTGCTGGAATTTCTGGAAAGTAAAGCTCTTTCTTCTGTGGCACCTGGCATGGGATGACAACATGAAACAAGGGACTAGTGCCACCAATCTGCTACCGGGAGGGGTGATCCTGGAGCTGCTGGGATGTCACTGTAGGGAGTATGCAGAGGGCAGAGAGGAGGGGTGGGGGGCTGATCCCTGGTGATACTGCCTGAGCTACAGATGCAGTACCTGAGACTGTCCTGTTACTGTGGCCAGACTGAATGGTCACCCAATCAGTGCCAGGTTTGGAGCGTTGGGACATCTGCTCAAATGCAGACTGGGTGGGCCGGAATCCAGGCTGAGAGCCCTGGGAACCTGGCTGCTGCACAGACCAGCGTGTGCAGGCTTTCCGTCACTTGCAGCCCCAAACACCGCCACCCTTGCTCCTCCTCCTGCATAGGGAGATAACCTGACAGCCCTTCTTCCCAGGTCCAGGCCCACAGAGAAGGTGCTCAGACCAAGGCCTTCCTGTCGCCTGAGGCCTCACCCATGCATAGTGGCCAATGCTGACCGACAGCAGTCACTAGGACAAGCCACTGTCCTGGGCACTGGACACAGATTAAGCCAAGTGACCCTCTTGAGGAAGCCTGTGACTGTCCCAAGGCACAGGGGGGATTCGAATGCAGGCATCTGGCCCCACACTCTGTGCTCCTGGCCCCTGACCACACCACCTTCCCCAGGATGTCCAAGACGCCCAGCCTCCTCGAGTCTATCGCTGTTGGAAAAAGAAAGCTGGACACCGAGTTATTCTCTGCTTCCCAAGGCACAGCCCCAGGCCTGAGACTTCACCACGATCCACCAACTGTTCACGTGCACGAAGGACCAGGCCAGGGATCAGCCCTCAGCTCTAAGAGCTGTTCTGCTTTCAACGCTCTTCCAAAGGACTGTCTGACTTCACAGAATTCTCATCCCCTCTTCAAAAGATTGTGAAAGCTCTAGAAGGGATAGAAACTACCTCATATTTGATAAATAAGTTACTTTCACCACAAAATTCTCCAGGGCTACGAACCCAAGAAATCATTAGAATTTAGTGGAAAGTTTTTGTGTATTTAGAAATCCAATTCTTCCAAATGCACTGCTGTGTTCAAAATGAGGGTTCTGAGCTGCCGATTCCTCTATCCGAGCACATCAAATAGGAAAAAACTAGCAAACTAACCACAATAACGAGACTAACAACAACGCTGGCAGCTGTCCTTCTTGAGGACGAGCCGTGTGCCAGGCCACCACTCTGAGGCAGGGACGAGGGGTGTCCTCAGGTGCGGCTGCTTGAGCTGAGAGCGTGCAGGGGCCCCACCCTCAGAGGCTGCACACTGCTGAGAGGGAGGAGGAAGCGGCCGTGGGTGCACCAAGCCCCAGGGAGAAGGCCCATCATACCCCAGCCCCACCTGTTGGCCCCTCTTCAGTCCGTTGTCACAGCCACAGACTGCCCCACTCTGCCCAGTGTCCAGCTCGTCCTGCTGGCTCAGTCTGGGCCCTGAACCACCTCCTCGCTTGTGTCCTCTCACTGGCTCTGATCCTGGCCCCGTTGGTCTGAACAGTCTTTTGTTTGCTAACTTCTTTCTTTCTCCCTCCCTACACTCCACCCCCTGAGGGCAGGAGCCCTTCCCCACGGTGTGCCACACCGGGTGTGGAGGGTCGGGGAGCGGGGACTGCTGACTACGTTTACTTGGCCGTTAGCACAGGCTTTGCCCCTGGAGAAGGGACGTCATCTATCCAGACAGCCACCTGCCTTAACATAAGGGTAATCTCAGACGATCTTTCTCAAGGCCCCTTCCTTCTTTATTCTGTAAACTCATAAGGTACAACCATTCTCTCCTCCCATTTCTCAGTTGCAAAATATTATAGGGTCTTATTTAGATTTTTAGTCAAAATAGGAATTTTTCTGGTCAGAATGATTACTCTGACACCCCATGATGTAGAAGTCATTCACAGCTCTGCTCCTCAAACCTGGGGAGCGATCAGATCCCCTGCAGAGCTATCGTAAAAACCGAGGCTCTGGGCCGGCCCCGTGGCTTAGCGGTTAAGTGCGCGCGCTCCCCTACTGGCGGCCCGGGTTCGGATCCTGCGTGCACACCAACGCACCGCTTGTCCAACCATGCTGAGGCCGCGTCCCACACACAGCAACTAGAAGGATGTACAACTATGACGTACAACTATCCACTGGGGCTTTAGGGAAAAAAAGGAGGAGGATTGGCAATAGATGTTAGCTCAGAGCCGGTCTTCCTCAGCAAAAAGAGGAGGATTAGCATGGATGTTAGCTCAGGG